AGTCTTGGGTCAGTGATACGCTTCTTCATGTGTGGGTGTTCCCTCCCCTCCCCTTTGCTCTGGGATTGCATCACTGCATTTGTTCAGAGATTTGTTTCTGTTCCTATTTTTTTTTTAATGTCAGAGCTAAAGTTGCGATGTCTTGATTTTTATTCCATTGCAGAATAAATACTACTTCAGGAGCAGTTGCAAAAGGCTCGTTTTCGTTGTTATGCTGATTTTTTTTTATAATTTAAGCTTTGTAAGAATATCTGACTTCGTCTGCCAATCTCCAGAAAAATATAGAAGTCTCAACTCATTTATCATTTGCCAGTTATTTATTTCTGAAAGAGAGGTTCTNTTCTAGAGTTTAATCCTTTCTTACTTTTAGGGGCAATATGTATTATAGTGTTTATACATATTCAGGCACTGAATAGATACCCCTTAGATTTGTTGGACTACATTCCCACAATTCTGAGTTTGTGCAGTAGTGGGATCTCTAATCCTGTCCATCTGGCAGGCAACACATAGTTGTCTGCAACCTCACATTAGATGTTAGAACAAGGTTGGCAAACATACCCCTCCTTAATGTTGTAAGACTATGCCTTCAATCCTGGATCATAGGTTATATACGTAAGTGTAGCTAGTGGGAATTGTAGTTCAACAATATATAATGCTCATAGGTTCTTTGGCCCTGCTGAATGGTATATTTGGGGTGGAGGGAAGTATCCTGTGATTTCAGCATCATCCCCTGCATAGCACATTCTAGATATATTCCAGAATCCTGATGTGTATTTAGTTATGTGTTTAGCTGCAGAATAGGATTGATACATGTGAATTAGGGATTCTGAATTAATATTCTGCAACTAGCTGAACTCAGATAGACAATGACTAGAATGATGATGACGAAATCATAAGTACATTTTTATTGGAAATAAAAATAAATTTAAAAAACCCTTATGGTATTTTTTTGTTCATTGGAAGTTTTATTCCAATCTTTTTCTCTCTGCTCTTTACTTAGCTTTTTTACAACACTAAGGGCGAGACTTTGGAATACCTGAGAATGTAGTAGAATTTCTAGAAGTGCCACCTGTTGTATTATTACAATAATTGAGGAAATAAAAAAGGTGCACAGGGAATTTTAAAAACAAGTTTTTCAAAACAATCATTTTCAGACAGCACTGAAGACTTAAAATTGTGGTAATGCACATCTTGAACTAAAAAGAAAAAAAAGCATGAACCTGGGAACCCAGATTCATTCAACTGATTGAATGAAAAAGAGCTGGGTTGTTGTTTTTGTTGCTGTTCTTGAGAAATAAACTATATTTGGAAATCTTTTGGTGGTGCTTCTCACTCCAGCAAGCACGCCTCCCTTCTAAACGGAGCGTAGTAATCATATGTCTAACTGGTACAGTGTTATGGAGCAGGACAAGAACAGTCTGTATTGTTAATGCTACATGGCCTGATGATCACATGTCATGGTTGCTGTGAAACAGGTATGCTACCTCTTGACCAATTGAGGCAGAGGGCGAAGGACTCGCCCTCTGCCTTAGAGATGTCACTCAGCAAAGACTGGGGCTATGATGATGTGACAGCTTCATATTCTCTAGTGAGTTATTTGGTTTGATGGCGTCACTGGGAAAAAAAATGGTGGTGAAAACTATAGCTCTGTGATGGAGAAATGGCCAACAATGAATGAATAGCGCACTGAGGTTTCCTCTGCTTGTTCAGCATGTTGATAACATTCAGTTTGTTAATGTGGCATTATTGTCATATTGAAACTAAAAATGGCACCGGGAAAATAAATTCTGCCCTTCTCACAGATTGTTCAGTCTGCTGACTGGGAGATAAAGGATGCCTTCAACATAAAATATTGAAAGGGTACTTTGCTGGTTGCTACAAATACCGTAGAGGAAGGGCTGCGTTTTGATAGCTCAGTGGGCACTGTCTGCATTCTTTGATGCCTTTCTTAGGGAAGTTTCTAATTTTTGTGTGGCTGTGGTATTTTAAAGATTCATGAGCTGCTGCATGCTGTTCTACTAAACTAAGAATGTTTTTGCTGCACCAAAGATTTGTTGTTGGGTTTGTAGCTGTGTAGGACTAAGGAAGTAAAGTTCAAAAGTGTATTTATTTAAAGATGCTGTGGAAGCCTCAAACTGATCTTTGGACACTGTGAGAATCTGAATGAAGCAAAAGCAAGCTCAGATTAAATCCTATCAAGATAGAATTGCTAGAGGTCAGGAGACATCTGTGTACTCTGATAACACTGGCCCAGCAATTACTCTGAATGGACTTGGGCTCCCCTTGAAGGAGGAGGTACTTTGTGACCTAAGGAACTTCCTGGGCTTGCAACAGCAGTAGAATACATGGTTAGGTGGACCTATCTTTGCCAAGCCCAACCAGGATGCTTGGCTTCAGAAACTCATGCTTTGATCATCACTTGATGAGACAGTACAACATGTTCTATGTGGGTCTGCCCTTGGAGATGATGTGGAAGCTACAGCTGGCAGCAAAATTACTGACAGGACAGTCCCACCTATCAAATTACACCTATACTAAAGCCATTGCCCTGCTTTCTTTGTAAGCTTCTAGGCTCAATTTGAAGTGCTGGTAAAGTCCTAAATGGTCCTTGGGATTGGGATTCACCAGGCAATACTTTGCCTGAATTGAATCTGCTCATTTAGGCTACAGAAGTTATTAAAAGTCCTCTTTGTAATGTTCACAGGGTATAGGAGAGATTGAAGGCTTTTCTGTAATAACTTCTGCCTTATGGAATACTGTCATCTTAGAAATGGGGTCAGCCCCAAATTTGCTGCAATTCCACAACCATATTAAATCTGTTTTATTCCAATGTGCTTTTAGTTTCAGCGGTGCCTATTTTGGATTTGATTTTTTATTTCCTTTTTGTGATTAAGGTTTGGTTTAGAGATTAATTTGGATGTTGTTGTTATCATTTTGTTATTTGAAGTTTTTGTATTTTGCCCAGAATCCTGGGGTTTGGGGTATATCATAAGTGCTGTAAATAGATATTTTGCTCTCTGGATGAGGAGGGAAAAAGAAAACATGAACACTCAGTTATTAGGATCAGTTGTGTAGCTGAAGTTCTTTGGAGTCTTGCCTTGATTAAGGATAGAATAGAAATAATTCAAAAGAGAGCATCAGCCTAAAATTTTGAATGTGAGCCCATGGAATAGCCTGCTTCCTATTTCCTCCCTTCCTGTAACTTGATGGAATGACTTTATGTAGATCATAAAATTATTTTAAAAAACTACTGGTCATATTGTAGTATGTTTGATAACCACTTTTCCAAAGAACCATCAGTTGAAGCATAGAGGTATGCTTTAAAAGCCGCTATATGAAAAAAATAAGATATTGATTAAAGCTTAGAAAAATAAAACCACTGAAAGTGAAAACTGTTCCTCATTTTGATTGAGGCTGTATACAGAATAGGTTCCCTTCCCATAGCCTTTTCGTTCTGCATTTCCATCCTGAAAAAGATGTTTGGATAGGGTTAAGATGGGATTACTCTATAACAAAAAACATAATAAGGGTGTGGGGGGAAAATGAGAATGTGATCTCGTGTCTTAGCACAAGCATGAAAAATCTTTGCAGTTTTGGAAAACTGGAGAATGGTTGCTATACAAATATTTTTGATAACTGCTGCTAGTTTATTCCTGTTTCTGCTTTACAAGGATAAATCTTAAGTCACGTTAAAATTATGATTAATATGTATATTTTTACTTGGCTAGACAGGCATAATTGTGCTTCAGCTTGGAATGGCATGTCAGAATTCCAGCATTTTAAAGGATATGAAAATTTATAACTCTTCCTCTTCATTCCGTTATTTTGTGCAGTCTTCTGTGTTGCATTTGTTCTTGCAGAATGTATTCTACAAATGGAAATCTTTACTTTGGGCCCCAACTATCTTATTAACTCCTCTGCTGTAGAGCTGTAGTGTCTAGAAAAAAAAAGGTTTCTGAAACACGTTGCACAATGCTGATATTAGGAAAGAGATTGTGGTTTAATTGCTTACAGTTTATGTGCCTGCTTCCTGTTTTCATTTTTTTATACATAATATGCTACATCTCTTACACAACAAAAAAAAGTCACATTCACACACACACCACCTTTGGAAAAAAAATATTTGTAAAAATAGGATTACATACTACACTAAAACAGTCTCTGAATTTAGTCGCAGCTAAATTTGGCTCCCTGTCAACTCTTCATTAAAACAGAAATATAATAGCAGCTTTTGTATCGTAATCTCTGTGTGCTTTAACTTTTTTTTTCATGGTTTATTTCTGAAAGGATTGAACTGTAAAGGTTTTTATATTGTGAAATGTAATTACCTAAAGCTGAAGACCGTGATACCCGAAAGGAGCACGTGAGGAGATGACTCACATGGGATTGTGTGATTTTCAGAAATAAAAGCTAACTGGTTGTTGGCTTGTTCACTGCATGTACTGTGTTCTGTTGGAAGTGGAATTAGCAGTAGTCTGAGTATGTCAAGTGAACAAATGAAAGCAAACACATACACACATACACACCGCTTCTTACAACATTCTGATTCATAACTTTTGCAAAGTTGACGTGGTTTTGCTGTGGCGGCATGTACTTGAGTTGAAAAAATAATGCCATTTCTTAAAAATATGCTTACAGCTTTATCTGTAACATTACAGGACTATGTATTCACATCAGGAGACAGATTGTGATAGTGATAATCAAATGCTTGCTAGAATAATGTAAATTAGTTTTTATTTTCATACATTTCATTCTAAACTCTCTTATTATTGAGTACTGTTGGGCTAGAGCTAATAAGACTTAAGGTCAAATCCCTGGTCATGAATATGGGTTATATTTATGAGCCTCATTATGCCCCGTCTACTCAGTCTACATTACAAAGCTGGGAGAGTGATAAAATAGAGAAGAAGATCCACCAAAGCTCCTTGAGGGAAAGATAAAATGACAAATATGCCAAAGGCTTGAATTTTATTTTATTTTTACTGTTGCTTCATATGCAGGTGCCAATATTGCCACAGGAGAAGAAGTAGCCATTAAATTGGAATGTGTGAAAACCAAGCACCCACAGCTCCACATTGAAAGCAAGTTTTACAAGATGATGCAAGGTGGAGGTAAGTTCATAGGCTTCAGAGCCTGATTTTTATGTTTCAGTATTTCACAAAGGCTTTGAAAAGATCTAAAGAGATTTGTGAATGAATGAATGATGTGTGTGCATATCTCCTCCTTGCCAATGTCCTCTTCTCATCTCTTTTTAGTGGGCATTCCTTCCATTAAGTGGTGCGGGGCAGAGGGTGACTATAATGTGATGGTGATGGAACTTCTGGGACCCAGCCTAGAAGACCTTTTTAACTTCTGCTCCCGCAAGTTCAGTCTCAAGACTGTTCTGCTTCTGGCAGATCAGATGGTAAGTTCTTATTTGATTATTGTGCTCTTCCTGATTCCCTTTCACAACAATTGCTTGGGGCACTCAGATGAAGCTAGAGCACTCAGCTTCAGATGATGCTGGGTCACCTGGATGAAGCTGAAAAACATTGGCACGTCTCTATTATCTCTCTAGCTGTTGTAGAAGGCAAAAGGTAGGAGCAGTGCTGTGCTGTAGACTAGCAGCTGGGACATCTTGCCAAAGTTGAGGATGTGTGTTAACTTTAAAGAATTCTCCATATTCTTTTCGCTATTCCATTGAAACGTTCTGTCTTTTGGCTCCCAGCCTAGGACTAGAAGTCCACTTTCACCTGTGTGGGTAGATAGGGCTTCACTTTTGTATTGAACTGCGGCAAGTATTGAGATCCCTTGATTTCTTGTTTGAGGTTACAGTGGGTCTTCCAGTTAATGAGATTACAATGTATATCTTGCTATAAAATTATGGCACTCTCTTCCTCTCCTTTCTCTCACCTTTCCTCCATTCTTCCCAATCCATTTCCAGATCAGCCGTATTGAGTACATTCATTCCAAGAATTTTATCCACCGAGATGTGAAACCGGACAATTTCCTTATGGGACTTGGCAAAAAAGGCAACCTAGTGTACATCATTGATTTTGGTCTGGCCAAGAAGTACCGAGATGCCCGTACCCACCAGCACATTCCCTACCGGGAAAACAAAAACCTAACTGGCACAGCCCGTTATGCCTCTATCAACACTCACCTTGGGATTGGTAAGTATTTTATGTTCCCACATTGTTGAAAATCCAATACGATGGTGGGAGATCAATTAAATCAAAATTTGTATCATTATATTGGTTATAATTTTGGTGGGTGGGATATACTATTTACCAATTTAATGGAAGCATTGTTCCTTTAATCTTGAGGTATTTTGTTCGTATTGCATGATATTTTGTCCTACGACAGTGCAAAATGATCGCATTATCTTTCAGATTAGGAATGCATGAAGAAATTGATTAAATATTCTGTAGAAAATGTAAAGAAGAGACAACTTGAGAAATTTAAGTCTTAGGTTTCCTTCAGGTTGTATTTCTGAGACAGAATTTATATAGCAAGTTGAGCCTTGTAAACATATAAGGCTTATAAACCTTATATTGTTTTCCTTATAAACATATGAGGAATGTTTGCTGGAATTGGGTATGTCAAGTTTAATGAAGAGAAGGACTAGGGGTGACATGATAGCAGTGTTCCAATATCTCAGAGGTTGCCACAAAGAAGAGGGAGTCAAGCTATTCTCCAAAGCACCTGAAGGCAGGACAAGAAGCAACGGGTGGAAACTAATCAAGAAGAGAAGCAACCTAGAACTAAGGAGAAACTTCCTGACAGTTAGAACAATTAATCAGTGGAACAACCTGCCTCCAGAAGCTGTGAACGCTCCAACACTGGAAGTTTTTAAGAAGAGACTGAAATGGTATAGGCCAGGGGTGTCAAACTGCCAGCCCATGGGCTGGATGCGTCACGCTAAAACTGCGCCCACCCCATTGCTGGCAATGGGGAAAAAGTCGTGATACATCACACGACATCATGAGTTTGACACCCATGGTATAGGCTTTCCTTCCTGAGCAGGGGGTTGGACTAGAAGACCTCCAAGGTCCCTTCTAATTTGATGATGATGATGATGATGATGATGATGATGATGATGATGATGATGCCAAAATACAGCTTGTTGGTTTGTAATGTGTTATAGGTAGTCCTAAACTTATGACCACAATTGAGCCCAAAATTTAAGCTAAGCAAGATAGTTAAGTACATTTTGCCCCATTTTATGACCTTTCCTGCTGAAGTGATTAAATGAATCACTGCAGTTGTTAAGTTAGTAACATGATTGTTAAGTGACTCTGGCTTCCCTGTTGAATTTATTGGTTTATTTGTTTATATCCTACCTTTATTTTGCAAATAACTTAAGGTGGCTAATTTATCCAACACACCTTCCTCCTCCTCTTTCCCCCCCCCTCCCCTACAACAACCTGGTGAGGTGGGTTGGGCTGAGAAAGTATGAGTGGCCCAAAGTCATCCAGCTGAATTTCATGACTAAGGCAGGACTTGAACTCACAGTCTCCGGCTTTCTAGCGTAGTTCCTTAACCCCTGACCAAACTTCCTTTGTCAAAAGGTGATCCCAGCACATTGCAACTGTCATAAATACCTGCCAGTTGCCAAGCATCTGAATTTTGGTCACATGACCATAGGGATGCTGCAACCATCATAAGTGTGAAAAATCATCAGTCACTTTTTTCAGTGCCATTGTGACTTTGAGTGGTCACTAAACAAATGGTTATAAGTCGAAGACTACTTGTATATGAACCCAGCCACTGTATATAAAGCTTGGTTTATTTCTAAATTATGCAGGCCAAGTAATTGTGGTCTGTTAAACCATTAAACAAACCATTATTTAGCAAAATACATAAACCTAACCTAAATTTAATTGATTTCGATTTCCCAGACTTAATGTATACTTTTGTGATTCAGTTCTCAATTGCAGTATAGTTTTTGGCTCAGGATGGATGGATGGATTTAGTGAACTACTACAGTTATAAGATGGAGCCAGTTTATATATAAGTACATTAGAAACTGACATCATCATGTTTCACGGCTGATTATCCCTAATAACTTGAATAAAAATAAAAAAATGAATTAATTGGAAGCACTGATAAAATTCAACATGTTGGAATTCTGACTCAAATGGACTAGAGCATTATATCACAAACCATAAATAGTTTGAATATGATGCCCTCCATTAATCACATTTTGCATTAGCACATTTTTTGCTTTTACAGAGATGTAAATGTGTATCACCAGTTAAAAAAAAAATCTTTAAATTGGAACATGTATTTTATTATTAAATTTCTAGACTGCCTATGTCGTTAAATGCCATGAAATAATTGTTTAAAAGAATTATCCATAGGAAGTCCTTGCTGAATTCCCACTGCAAGTAAAAATAGTTAGAAAACAAATATAAATTCAAAAATATGGATAAGATTCAGTGAGGATGTAACAGATATATAAGTTGTAAGATTGTTAAACAGCTAAAGGTTGTTTAAATAGATTGACTTTCCCATTTTAGAATGATAGATTTGTTGTGATACGAATTTGCTATTTGAAACATTTCAGAAGTACTTTTTTAATGCCTTTTAAAGAAGGCGACAGTTTATTTATAACTGTATTGAATTGGCTACTATTTGGGAATTAAATTTGGCTGTGGCTGGTTGTTCATTGGCTTGTCCTTTATTGTAAACACGTTTTCACCAACACCAGTTATTCAGGGACTCATTAAAATTTCTGGTTAAAGTTTTAATTGAACATGCTGGCAAATCAAAGGATTTTTGCATTCCCATCCTACCAGTGTAGTCTTAATGTTCAAAAATGAGCCAGCATGTTTTATACTCTTACTGAGTGATCCTAATGAAAATTAAAAAGCTAAAGAATGTAGAGATGTTGAGACTCTAGAAAGACTACAGAGAAGAGCAACAAAGATGATTAGGGGACTGGAGGCTAAAACATATGAGGAACGATTGCTGGAATTGGGTATGTCTAGTTTAACGAAGAGAAGGACGAGGGGGGACATGATAGCAGTGTTCCAATATCTCAGGGGCTGCCACAAAGAAGAGGGAGTCAGGCTATTGTCCAAAGCGCCTGGAGGCAGGA